CCCCCCCGCCCCGCGCCCGCTCAGTCCCCCAGGGGGCCGCGGGCGTGCTGGGCCGCCAGGGCCAGGGTGAAGGCAAGCGCGTCGGGGCGCAGCTCCGGGGGGTCCGCGTCGAAGGCCGCCTCCCGGGCCCGGCAGCCTTCCACGAACAGCCGTCGGCGTTCCTCGATGTCTCGCATGATGCGGACCGGGATCCTGGGCGAGTGGGTCAGGTAGTGGTGGAACATGCGCTCGCGGATGGCCAGCAGCCCGGGGGGGTCGTGCAGCGGCGGCGCCGACGCCTGGCCCGGGACCCGCCGGGATCGGGCCGCCTCGGCCAACAGAATCGCCTGCATCTCCCGAGCCAGAAACCGGCCGCTCGCTCCCGCGTCCAGCACCTCGCGGATGTCATCGTCCACGGCGCTCATCGCCGGGAGGCCGCGCCGTCCCCGCAGCTCGGACATGGTCGTCCCGTACCGCCCGGGCACCGCGCCGTGGTCTTAGGCAACGCACCAGCACTCGTGGAGCTCCTCTGGGCGCATGCGTGGAGGCTCGGAGCCCGCTAGGGCGCGATGCGCGTGCGTGGGGGGTTCGGCGCCCGCAGGGAAGCCACTGCGCATGCGTGAGTTGGTGCAGGTCTACGTGGTCCTCGAGCGTCCCCTAGCGTCTCCAGGTGCCACTACGTCTGCAACCCGAGTCTGAGTTCAGTATTCCGAGGGAGTGCCCTGTAAGATTTTGTTCCAGCTCGTTTTTTTTCCTTTTAGTGTGTGGAGGTCCTAAGGGCGCTGTCCCAGAGCTTCTTAGGTTCAAGGCTAGCGCTCTACTACTTGAGCCACAGCTCCACATGCAGTTTTTTGGTGGTTCCTTGGAGAGAGGAGTCTCATGTTCTTGCCCTATCTGGCTTCGAACCAAGATCCTCAGATCTCAGCCTCTTGAATAACTAGGATGACAGGCCTGAGCCACTAGGGCCCCACTTCCAACTCCCTTCTTAATGGCACTCTGCAGATTTTACATGTGCAAACTTGAAGCAACCCTTCAGTTGCCTTAAAAAAAAAACCAACGTGTTTATTATTATTATTATTATTCTTTGCTAGTCCTGGGGCATGGAATCAGGGCCTGGGCGCTGTCCTTCAGCTTCTTTTGCTCAAGGCTAGCACTCTACTACTTGAGCCACAGACCTTCTTTTTCTTTTTTTTTTGGTCGGCCGTGAGACCCGAACTCTAGACCTGGGTGCTGTCCCTCAGCTCTTCAGCACAAGGCTAGCTGAGCCACAGTACCACCTCCAGCTTTTTCTGCTTATGTGGTGCTGAGGAATCAAACCCAGGGCATGCAAGGCAAGCACTCTACCACTAAGCTACCTTCCCAGCCCCTGGCTTTTTCTATTTTCTGAGGTACAGAGAAATTGAACCAGGGCTTCATGTATGCTAGGCAAGCACTCTACCACTAAGCCACCTTCCCAGCCATTTCTTTTTTGGTCCAGTTGTGGGTCCTGAACTGTGGGCCTGGGCGCTGTCCCTCAGCTCTTCCATTCAAGGCTAGCGCTCTACCACTTGAGCCAAAGCGCCACTTCCAGCTTTTTTCTTTTTGTTTAGGTGGTGCTGAGGAATCGAACCCAGGACCTCATGCATGCAAGGCAAGCGCTCTGCCACTGAGCCACCTTCCCAACCCATCTTTAACATTTCTTGTGTGTGTGCATGTGTGTGCGTGCGTGCACATGTACTCCGGGCCTGAACAATATCCCTGAGCTCTTGTGTTCAATGCTAGGGCTCTACCACTTGAGCTACAACTCCATTTCAGGTTTGTTGGTGGTTAACTCAGATAATGGTATCACAGACTTGACTGTTTGAGTTGGCTTTGAACCTCAACCCTCAGATCTCAGCTTCTTGAGTAGGTAGGATTTCAGGCATGAGTAACCATTGCCTGGCTCAAGATAAATTTTGTTGTTGTTGTTAGTCAAGGGGACTGGACGCTGTCCCTGAGCTCTTTTGCTCAAGGCTAGCCTTCTGTCATTTTGAGCCACAGGTCCACTTCCAGTTTTCTGATTCATTGGAGATCAGAGTCTCATGGATGTTCTGCCAGGGCTGGCTTTGAACCATGATCCTCAGATCTCAACCTCCTGAGTAGTTAGTATTACAGGAGTGAGCCACGGGAGATTGAGATAATTTCTTAATGAAAATGCAACATATGGGCAGGGAAGGTGGATCAGTGGTAGAGCGCTTGCCTTGCATGTATGAGGCCCTGGGTTCGATTCCTCAGCACCACATAAGCACAAAAAAGCCAGAAGTGGCACTGTGGCTCAAGTAGTAGAGTGCTAGCCTTGAGCTGAAGAGTTGAGGGACAGCGCCCAGGCCCAGAGTTCAAGCCCCACAACAACAAAAACAACAACAAAAACAAAAGAAAATGCAACATATATAATCAGTTAATATAATTTGTCAACTTTTGTGAGTGAAAAAGAAATTTGGATTTGCTGGTATATACATCATAAGCAACAGGAACTATGGCTGAGTTCTGTCAAGAGCAGAGGACAAGGACTTCTGAACAGATGACTTAAAAAAAAAATATATATATATATATATATTTGGTGTCAGTCCTGAAGCTTGAACTCAGGTCCTGGATGCTGTCCCTGAGCTGCTTTGCTCAGGTTAGTGCTCTCCCACCTGAACCATAGGATCCACTTGCAGCTTTTTTGGCAGCTTAATGGAGTCTTTGCTGCCCAGGCTGTCTTTGAAGCAAAATTATAAAGATTAGGGCTGGGAAGGTGGCTCAGTGGTAGAGCGCTTGCCTTGCATGCCTGAGGCCCTGGGTTCGATTCCTCAGCACCACATAAGCAAAAAGAAAAAAGCTGGAAGTGGTGCTGTGGCTCAAGTGGTAGAGTGCTAGCCTTGAGCTGAAGAGCTAAGGGACAGTGCCCAGGCCCAGAGTTCAGGCCCCATGACCGGAACCCCCCTCCAAAAAATACAAAGATTACAAACTGAGTAAAAGAAATGAATAATCAAGGAGGAGGATTGGGTGAGTGGGGGGAGGCTGGGAAGGGATGGGAAGGGGAAACAAAGGAGGAGGCTACAATGCTTGATAAGAAATGTACTCATTATCTTGCCCATGTAATTGTAACCCCTCTGTACAGTATTTTCACAATAAAAAAATTTTAAAAAAGAAATGAATAATCAAAAAGTTCTGTATTTTATAGCAGGGTGCTGAGGGCTCACGCCTGTAATCCTAGCAACCCAGGAGACTGAGATCTAAGGATCACAGTTCAAAGCCAGTCCTTGCAGGAAAGTCCATGTGCTTCTTCTCTCCAATTAACTACTAAAAAGCTAGAAATGGAGCTGTGGCTCTAGTAGAGCAGGAGCACTGGAGCAAAAACAAAAGAAAACAAAAAACCTAAAGGACAGCATCTAGTCCTGAGTTCAAGCCCCAGAACTGGCACAAAACAAAAACACAAAAGAAAAAAATAATGTGTAGTTTTAGGGGCTGGGAAGATGGCTCAGTGGTAGAGCGCTTGCCTTGCATGCCTGAGGCCCTGGGTTCGATTCCTCAGCACCACATAAGCAAAAAGAAAAAAGCTGGAAGTGGTGCTGTGGCTCAAGTGGTCGAGTGCTAGCCTTGAGCTGAAGAGCTGAGGGACAGCGCCCAGGCCCAGAGTTCAGGCCCCAAGACCGGACCCCCTCCCCCCCACCAAAAAAAATGTGTAGTTTTAAAAACACAATGTATCGGCCTGGCGCAGGTGGCTCATGCCTGTAATCCTAGCTACTCATGAGGCAGAGATCTAAGGGTCACAGTTCAAAGCCAGCCTAGGCAGGAAAGGCCATGAGAGTTTATCTCCAGAAAACCTAGAAGTGGTGCTCTGACTCAAGTAAAGTACTAGTAAAGTACCAGTGTTGAGCTGAAGAGCTGAGGGACAGCGCCCAGGCCCAGAGTTCAAGCCCCTAGACTGACGAAAAACAAAACAAAACAAACCTACACAATTTATCATGTAACATGTACAACATATACTTATCATTTGAAATGCCTCAGGGAGCAGAAAATCAGTCTCACAGGACAAACTTGAAGTGACACAAGAGAACACAGACTTAAACATAGTCAAATTCTTCCCACTGCTTTGCAGTCCTACAGATACAGTTGCAATTTTATTTTTATTTTTTTCTGATCCTGGGCCTTGAACTATGGGTCTGGGTACTGTCTCTAAGCTACTTTTGCTCAAGGCTAGCACTCTACCCATTGAGCTACAGTGCCACTCCTGATTTTTTCTGATTAATTGGAGACGAGTCTCATGGACTTTACTGCCTAGGCTGGCTTCCATCCACGATCTTCAGATCTCAGCCTCCTGAGCAGTTAGGATTACAGGAGTGAGCCACTAGTGCTCACACCTGCAGTTGTAATTCTTCTTTTTCTTTTTCCTCTTTTTTTTTTTAGCCTGTCCAGGGGCTTGAACCCAGGGCACGGGCGCTGTCTTTGAGCTTCTTTGGCTCAAGCCACAGCACCACTTCCAGCCTTTTCTGAGTAGTTTACTAAGAGTCTCATGGATTTTCCTGCTTGGACTGGCTGTGAACGGAGATCCGCAGATCTCAGCCTCCTGAGTAACCAGGATTACAGGCATGAGCCACCAGCATCTGACTAGTTGTAATTCTTCCCCTCCCCCCAGTAGGTCATGGGGCTTGAACTCTGGGCCTGGATGCTGTCCCTGAGCTCTTCAGCTCAAGGCGAGTGCTCTACCACTTGAGCCACAGCGCCACTTTTGGTTTTCTGGCGGTTCATTGGAGGTAGGAGTCTCGAGGACTTTCCTACCTGGGCTGGCTTTGAACTGTGATCCTCAGATGGAAGTCTCCTGAGCAGCTAGGATTACAGGTGTGAGCCATTGCAAGTTGTAATTCATTATCATCACTATCTGGCTCTTCTTCATAGACGCTACTATTGGCAATTTTTCTTCATCCAAGGCTCAATTAAAACAACAACCAAAAACCCCTTTATTTTTCATGAAATCACATGGGGTGACCAAAACTTTTATTATTATTATTTTTCTTCATGAAGTCACATGGGGGGGGGGAGAGATCATTTTTATAACGCCAGGGAAAGGGGGAAAAAATCTAGAGCAAGCACAAACTCCTAGATCAATCACAAACTCAAAAGTCAACATTACAGGAGTTGTCCAGTGGTTTCAACATTATCTTTTTTTTCTACTCTTCAAATTTATTAGGATGATTATTTTATTTTGCAGGGCTGGGAATAGAACCCAGGGAGGAGGGGAGGGGAGGCCCTAGGGCCTGCCAGGTTACACTGCTCCACCGTTGCCTCTCCCCGCCCTCCCCCGCCCCCCCAAGCCCCTCTATTTCTTTTCTGATGTTGTTTTTCTCCAGCTGGGGCCCTCACTCTAGACTTAAAAAAAAAACAAACAACCAAAAGGAACACCAAAACCAAGTTGCAGGATGGATTTGACTTGAAAGCAGAGGTTTTCTCGGAGTGGTTGGTGGCGTCCCGGGAGCTACTCCCTATTGATAAACTTATCGCACCCAAGTTCTTCGATCAGGGGATTGATCACTTCGGAGGCGGTCAGGGCTATGGTAAACGTTAAAATGTCGAAGTCCACCCGCTGAGGATTTCGATGATACTCGGCATCGAACGCGGCCTCCCGGGCCCGGCACGCTTCCACAAATCTCCGCCGGCGTTCTTCCAGCTCCTGGATCCTGCCGGGAGCGATCGGGTAATTCTCCAGGTAATGGCGAAGGAACTGCTGGTAATTGATGCCTAGCACGCTAAGGGGGTGTCGGAGGCGGAGATAGGGCAGCGCAGCCAGCGCCCCGGCGTTCCCGGATCGAGACCGGGGTCTGCTCTCGGGAGCTTCTTCTTCCAATGGTTCCCCCAAAAGTCGAGCTACCTCGGCCATCCGGGCGTCCCTGGCCGCCGCCGCCGCCGCCGCCATCGGGCCGCCCCTGGCCGCCGCCACCGGGCCTCCTCCCCTAGCCTCCGCCATCCGGCCTTCCCGGGCCGTCACCATCCGGCCTCCCCTGGCCGCCGCCGCCACCGGGACCACCGGTCCATCCCTGGCCGCCGCCAGCGGCTCGTCCCTGGCCTCCGCCATCGGGCCTCCCCGGGCCTCCGCCATCGGGCCTCCCCGGTGCTCGTCAGGCTGCGCCGCGGCCGGCGCCCGCCTCCCGCCGCCTACCTCGGCTGGCGGGATGTCGCCGTCCCCGCTCGCTGCGCCCGTCGAGGGGACACCGCTGCTGCTGCTGCTGCTGCTGCTGTCGGCGGGCAGCTGGGACATCTTACGGGGCGCCGAGGGTCAATGACCAGACTCCCGGAATTAAAATTCGTTGTTTTGGAAAAAAATATATATAATATGGAATAACGTGGACAGGGGCGACGCCGTGCGTCCACGCGAGAGCGCGAACACGAGCGCAATGCGCACCGGGGAGGACGCCGCCAGCGCAGCCACGTGCGCAGGCGCAGAGCCGGCAGCCACGCCGAAGGGCCTCTGCGCACGCGCGGTCGCTATGGACGCTGACTGCGGTCGCTATGGAAGCCACCACCTAGCGGCTGGGAACGGTCATGCATCTGAAACAGCGGAACGGGGACTGGCCCGGGGGTTTTATTTTACATTCCGACCAGTTCAAGGTTTATTACTGAAATTTTAGTGGAATTGTTTTTTTCCCTACAGGCATTCTCAAGGTTCAAAGCTAGACTGTTCTCTCTTCGCAGTGATTATAATTCTACCTTCCATTATAAAGACATTCTAGCCAGTCACTAGGTGGCTCTTACCTGTAAAATCCTATAGCTAGTCAGGAGGCTGAGTTATGAGGTTCCAGGTTCAAAATCAGCTCAGGCAGGAACATCTCTGAAACTCTTTATCTCCACTTAACCAACAAAAAGTCAGAAATGGAGCTGTAGACCAAGTGATAGAGCACTAAGCTTAGGGACAGTGCCCTGATCTTGTAATAACGTGGCCTGGCCCACTGGAGGGACGGGGCATGCCACCTAAAGGAGTTGGGGCGTGGTGCTGGAGGAGGTGGTGTCGAGCCCCACATGCTGAGCTGCCTATTGGGATTGGACAGGGGGGGGGGCAGCTTGGGGGAGGAGCATGAATGGTGGTCTGAAACTATTAGTGGAGGAGGGCCCCGGGGAGTAGGGGGGAGAGCAGAGGGAGTAGAGTGGAACTTAGTCCATTGGAGTCGGGGAGTAGAGAGACGGAGAGGAGAGAGGGACAGCAGGAGGGGAAAGCCTGCCTAAGTGGAGCATGGCAGGCCTCCTCCGGAGGTCATTTGGGACCTCCCTCTAGAGAGAGGCCTGTGGAGAGGCACCTCCTGGAGCAGGGCAGGGCAGGCCTCTGGAGGAGTGGAGAGGCTGCAGAGAAGGAAGAAGGCACGAAAAGGAAAAACCTTCCCCTTTGGAGCTTTGGAGGTCTGGGATTGGAGGTTTAGGGAGTGACTAATTGGTGGTTTGCAGACTAATAAAGGTGGGGGCTGCCTATTGGAGGCTTGGAGGTTTGGTGGTTGAGGCTGCTCTTGGTTCTGGGTATCCAGCCCAGGACTAGGTAGTCACAGGCCCCCTTTCTGGTGTAAATAATATAAATAAATGTTATCTCTAACTGTGCCTTGATGGATTGTCTCGCTCTTTGGAAGTCGTATTTCCAGCCCCAGATCCCACAGCTATTCTTCTTCTAGAAACTGGGATTTCTCCCTAACCATGAAGAGCCAGACACAGCCTGTTCAATGTGCTCATGAGCAGAAACAGCAGTGGGTCCTGAGCAAGGGTGGGGATGGTATTTGGGTCCAAAAGGGGAAAGGTTTGCCTACCAAAAAACCGCGGACCAAATTATATTGGATCCTGAAATGGAGGTGACAGGAATTCAAGGCAAGAACACAAGAGGCAGACAATGATGCAGGGGGCAGGGGTAAGGTTTATTTGGATCTTACAGGAAAGGAAGGAGATACATGTGTGTGGAGAGAGGAGTGAGTCCAGAGCTGGGGCACAGAGCTGTCTGGCCTTGTGCTGGGGCTGTGCGGGTCTAGCAATGCAGATTCCCCAAAAAGATACTTCTCCAGGCAGGAGAAGTCTTCCGCCTCTGATGTGGCATAGATGTGGAGAAGCTCTTCTGTACTGCAGGGAAGGGGTACCTCCAAAGCCTCCAGGGTCTGAGAAGGTGGCAAGAAACCAAGTCTGGGGGCCTCAGGTGCTACAGACTGCTGGAACTGCTCTGGGCCTTGGTGGGTCCCACTTTTGGAAGGCTGCTGGGGGGCTGAGGGTGGCAGCCCCAGGGATCTGGGCCTCGGTGGTGGCCTGGCCAGGGGAAGCTGCTGGGGACACAGGCAGCTCCTTGGCTTGCTGCTGTTGCTGCTTCTTCAACTTGGACACCTGGTTCTTAAACCAAGCCTGGGGTGGGGAAGAAAGGAGTGTGGGGGCTGGGAAGGTGGCTCAGTGGTAGAGCGCTTGCCTTGCATGCCTGAGGCCCTGGGTTCGATTCCTCAGTACCACATAAGCAAAAAGAAAAAAGCCAGAAGTGGTGCTGTGGCTCAAATGGTAGAGTGCTAGCCTTGAGCTGAAGAGCTGAGGGACAGCACCCAGGCCCAGAGTTCAGGCCCCATGACTGGACCCCCCCCCAAAAAAAAAGAAAGGGGTGTGGGTGAATAAAGGGGATCAGAGCACCAGAGACTCTTCTCTCTCTCCACCTAGTGGGGCCTAGAAAAGGTTCTAATGTCAGTACATAGGGAGACCCTTCCTGAAAGATAATTGTCTGGGGGAGCCCAGTGGTTCCTCATGAGTGTGCTGGGCTCTGCCTGCTCCTGGCAAGTGTCAGGAGTAGAAGATAAAGTTGGGGGAAGCCCTGGGTTTGGGGGTGACACATGGATGGGCACTCACCTTCACCACTGACTGGTCCAGCTGCAGCTTTGAGGCCAGGGCCTGGATCTCTTCCCACCTCTGGGTGAGTGAGAACCACTTTCTCAGCTCGAACAGCTGGTGCTCCGTGAATCTTGTGCGGCTCTGGCGAGAAGCTCACACTGGTCTGCAGCAGAGAGGTCGCACAGGACAGGTTCCTGACAAGCCTCCATCTGGGGTCCTGCTGCCTGAGCCTGCTCCGAGGACCAGTAGCTGATGGGACAGTGTGGCCTGGGCCCTGCTCCTGGCCATCTTGCTGTCCTTCCTCTGTCCCCTACCCCCCAAAAGAGTCCAGATCTTGCTGAGGGTGCACAGTTATCATCTCTGCTCTTTGAGGAACACAGAGCAGGAGAACTGTGGTTCAAGGCCAGCGAGGAGAAAGTGTGTGAACACATTTCAGCTAACAATGATTGGAAGAATAAAACAGATCCAGCCAGGTGCCGATGGCTCAGGCCAGTAATCCTAGCTACTCAGGAGGCTGAGATGAGGATTTCAGTTCAAAACCAGCCTGGGCAGGAAAGTCCATGAGACTAATTTCTAATCAACTATCAAAAATTAAAAATCTAGTCTGGGAATATGGCTTAGTGGTAGAGTGCTTGTTTAGCATGCATGAAGTCCTGGGTTCAATTCCTCAGGACCACATAAACTGAAAAAGCTGTTGGCTCAAGTGGTAGAGTGCTAGCCTTGAGCAAAAGAAGCTCACGGGCAGTGCCCAGGCCCTGAGTTCAAGCTCCAGGACTGGAAAAAATATCTGGAACTGGAGCTGTGGCTCAAGGGGTAGGGTGCTAGTCTTGAGCAACAAAAGGACAGTGCCCAGACTCTGAGTTCAAACCCCAATATAGGCTCAAAACAAAACAAAAACAAGACACAAAATGCCCCCATCAATTTTCTTGTTTTTGTTTTTTTGGGTCCAGTCATGGGGCCTGAACTCTGGGCCTGGGCACTGTCCCTCAGCTCTTTAGCTCAAGGCTAGCGCTCTACCACTTGAGACATAGCGCCACTTCCAGCTTTTTTCTTTTTGCTTATGTGGTGCTGAGGAATCGAACCCAGGGCCTCAGGCATGCAAGACAAACGCTCCACCACTGAGCCACCTTCCCAGCCCCCCATCAATTTTCTTGATGAAATACCCCAATATTTTCTTTTCTTTTTTTTTTTTTGGGGGTCCGGTCGTGGGGCCTGAACTCTGAGCCTGGGTGCTGTCCCTCAGCTCTTCAGCTCAAGGCCAACACTCTACCACTTGAACCACAGCGCCACTTCCGGCTTTTTTCTTTATGTGGTGCTGAGGAATGGAACCCAGGGCCTCAGGCATGCAAGGCAAGTGCTCTACCACTGAGCCACCTTCCCAGCCCCATACCCCAATATTTTTCAATAGAATGCTCTGAAATTGAATCCAGCATATTAGGTATTGGTTTTATTCCAGGAATGCAAGGAAGGTTTGTCAGATAACCAGTTCTTAACACTGCAGTTGGCCTGACAAAATCCCATCCCAGTCCTATGTCCTCTGAGCTTCTCTATGCCCTTCCCTGTGCCCCCTTTGCTGCCCACAAGTGCCAACTTACCTGCCGTGGAGGTCTCAGTGATGCCTGCTGTGCCAGCCAGGTGAGTTCTGATGGCACTCTGGAATTCCAGAGTTCCAATGCCCCACGTGTCTATGAAGTTTGTATTTAAGTAGAATGCTGGTGGTCTGCACCCTCTGGGACACTCCCTAATCTCCTACCCACTCAGGCTTAAATAACAGGCATGGGTTCAATTCCTCAGTACCACATAAACAGAAAAAGCCAGAAGTGGCGCTGTGGCTCAAGTAGTAGAGTGCTAGCCTTGAGCCCAGAGAGACCCAGGGACAGAGCCTATGTCCTGAGTTCACTCCCCAGTACCAACAATAATAATAATACATTTTTTTTTTTGCCAGTCTTGGGTCTTGATCTGAGGGCCTGGGCATTGTTCCTGAGCTTCTTTTTTTTTAATTTTATTTTTGGGTCTGGTCATGGGGCCTGAACTCTGGGCCTGGGCATTGTCCCTCAGCTCTTCAGCTCAAGGCTAGCGCTCTACCACTTGAGCCACAGCACCACTTCTGGCTTTTTTCTTTTTGCTTATGTGGTGCTGAGGAATCGAACCCAGGGCCTCATGCATGCAAGGCAAGCGCTCTACCACTGAGCCACCCTCCCAGCCCAGTTCTTGAGCTTCTTTTGCTCAAGGCTTAGCGCTGTACCACTTGAGCCACAGCACCATTTCTGGCTTTTTCTGTTTATGTGGTTCTGAGGAATCAAACCCAGGGCTTTATGTATGCCAGACAAGCACTCTACCAGTAAGCCACATTCCCAGCCTCTAATAATAATTTTTAAATAAATAAATATTTCACATAAGCTGGATACCAGTGGTCTCGTCTGTAATCCTAGCTACTCAGGAGGCTGGGAGCTGAGGATCACAGTTTGAAGCCAGCCCAGGCAAAAAAAATGAGATTTTTTTTCTGGTTGGTCATGAGGCTTGAACTCTGGGTCTGGGCATTGTCCCTGAACTCTTCAGCTCAAAGCAAACACTCTACCA